TTTCTCCGAAGGGCAGGTCAAGTAAATCAACGCATTACACTTTGTAATGTGGCTGAATAAACAGGAGGAGAGTGAGGAGACTTAAGGACTGGGCAGCGTGTAAGTGCAAATGCAGTGATAATGCCAATAATTCAATTATCCCGCTGCGTCCTTGCCCCCGTTGCCTGTCACCTCTTAGCCAGAAACCAGTAGCCAGGAGCAAGGAACCATCAGCCATCAGCCACCCGCTGGCCCACAGCTCCTTGTCTGGCTTATTGTTATTGCCAAATCGAGTGACTAGTGACTGGCTGATATTGTTGCTGCTGCACTTACAACTCCACAGATTGCAGCCACTTTCTGCTCTCCCCCGTATTAAGAAGTCACTTAGCTGACAGCCAGATAACAAGGAGCTGCATCACCATCGCCAGGGATTCTCAGGGTGGGAAATTCTGGAATCTGCGCAGCAGGACGTAAATTGAAAACAATAGTTGCAATCCAAACGACACACGAAACGTATCAATCTGTGTGTAATCTCCAGGCGTGTGTGTATAGTGCATATAAATATGTGAGGCATATAGTGCAATATGGCCAAGAAGTTGACTGAAAGTGTGAGCCATAACACCGTGCATTAATTACACCAATTTATGGAGCAGTTAAAGTTTTTCAAAAGGCCTCTACAACTATGCTGAGCTACTTCTATGAAGAGTTTTGGCGCCTGAACAGGGTCTCCAAGTTTGCCACTATGGATAAATAAAAAACATTTAAGGGTTCAATTAAATTCTTACTTTTAAATATTATTATTTGCAAGAGGGATACTTTATAATACCCTTGCATTTTCATTCACTTATCAAGTGGCGCCCAAACAGGAACCTCAAATCTGCTTCTATGAGCAAAAGTAAGAATTTGAATGACTTCTACTATGAGTACTTTTAAATGTGATTCTTTTAAAGATTTTAAATAGAGAGATATATTATCCGTTTTGTTTGTTTTTTATAAGACAACCAATTTGTAACTGGCGCCCAAACAGGGACCTTAACCCCAATGCAACATGTTTTGAGCAAAGAGCATCTGAATGTCTCCATTTCGATCTGATACAAAGTGCTTATATCAAATGGACCAGTGCCGTCTTAAAGTGCTTTCTTCGTTTCCACTTCGGGTGGCATTAATTGTCGGCATAATTTCATTACGTTTCGTTCATTAAAACTTTCAAAATGGAGGCTGCCTGCTAGCAAGGCACAAATGGAAAACGGAAAAATCGTTGGCGAACATTTCCCCGAGGATGAGGACTTTGGTCTCTCTCTGGAATTATGGCTCATTAAATGACATAATGCAGGAGGAGAAGTCGAAATTGTATTTGTGTAGCGTTCTTTTCGGCGCTGGCAGATGCTCCTTGCCTTTGGAATCCTGAATCCTGGGTCCTTTTGCGTTTTTCTGTAACCGCAAGGCGATTGCCGCCCGCTGGCGTTGGCTAATGTCTTTCTAATACACAGACACGCACCAAGGAGACACGCACACACACGCAAAGACTTGGGTTGGGAAATCGCAGCGGGACATCCAGGACATCCAGGACACTTTGCAGACATGTGCCGCATAATAGTCACGGCTTGATTTCTCCCGCAGCCTCGGCTTTTCCTTGAGGCATGCGTATGTTCCTTAACTGCCGTTGCGTCTTTTTCAATTACACACATAATTAAATATGTTCCGCCCACCCAGGCCGGGTTTTGGGGGGCGTGGCATCCCGCGGGGATTGCCCCCAAAGCCAGCGTTATTTTTCATCCCAAACTCGTAGATGTGGTTGTGAATGTGCCAGCAGGCAGACAAATACTCCAAATCTCTCCCAATTGTGCGATATCCCCAGCCATCACATCGCATTTGTGGACTTTAATAAACATGCTAGATAATTAAATTTAATCGCATGCTTTTATTTTACATTAGCATGTGTGGGCACACACTTCCAGGCCCGGAAAAATGACAGACTCTATTTGCTGTGGCCAAATTCAATTTGCCACCAAAGTCCTGGATCGCTTGGTCCTTGGGCAAACATTTCATTTCATCCGGTTTGCCTCAAAATTCTATTTGCTCGAACCCCCCCCCCACTCACACACACACACAATGGGAGTTCTCTTCAGAACTCAAATGCTCTAGACTAGGCAAACAGTTTGTGGTTAGATAATTGCAAAAATTTAAGGATTTCGTGAGGTTTTTTTTTATACCATGGCTTCAAGTTCCCATTGTGGTGGCTCAGTCATCAGAGCTTTTTCTATAATTTGTTTAGCCAGAAAGTGGGGATAACATCCCCACACTCCGTATCTCTGCATCTGTATCTGCAAAATCTCCCCTGCCTGTCCGTCCCGGTAATCTCTGAGCCAATAAATTTATGCCGAAATATGTCTATTCCTTTGCCCCATCTTGTCAAAATCTGGATTCCACTTTGCCGGGGGATATAAATACAATTTGCAGGTTTTAATAACCGCAGCTGTCACCACATCGCCTAAGTGCAGCGCATAAACCAGATCAGAGTTAAAACACAGACCAGAAAGTGAAAAAATAGAAATGGGGAAATGGAGAACCACAATTTAGGATCAGAAACAGGACCAGGAATAGAAATGGAAATGGAAAACGAGACCGAAACATAAGGCAGACGGCAAATAAACGCCACGGAAATGAAGATTTTTATGTGGCCCAAAGTGGAGCGACATAAATTGCTGGCAAAAAGTGCGCAAAAGTGTTTTGTTGTCACCCTCGCACCAGTTAAATAGGGCAAAAACCCCGTACTACCACACATCCAGGGGCGGGCAAATAAATTTCTATTAAACACAAATGAGCAACAGAAGAGGGGAAAAAAAACGAAAAGTTTTTCTAAGAAAAGTAGAAAAGTTTTAGTCACCCACCCACACACACACACATGACAGAAGAATGTTTTCTTCCTTCTGGCCAAAAACTTTGGGCCAACAATAATTATGTTGATTACAACAAAGAGGCAACTTTTGCCCTCTTCAATCTGCCGCCAAGGGTTTTCGTTTTGCTGTTGTTAAGGGCTTAAGTAGGAAAACCCGTCAATATCCATAATTATATACATACGCACACGTTGTTTACGGGCATTACGGGCTTATTACTCAACGTGGCTACCGAATTATTTCCCATAAAACCCACTAGTCTGCTTAGTAACGTTTAATCTGCGCTTTCTTGCCGGAAATTGTAGGATCATAAATTATTTAGCCACATTTGTAGATTAAAGCCGATGAAAGTCGGCTCTGCATTTCGAAATGGACGGTTAGCAAGTGGTTGCAATTAGATTTTGCACTTATCAATAATAATTCGGATTTTCAAACCCATTTTGCCTGCGGTTTTCAAATTAATTAAAATGCCTGCATTTAGTTGTTGGCCAAATTCTAACTAGCCAAGCGCTTTTCACAACAATATCAGCCATCCTGGCAACAGCACTAATTATCCTAATTGCCGAGCGTGAGATAACGCATCATAATTAGCTTGATAATTGTGTTTTAACATGGCCAACTGCTGCGCCATATTGTTTTAGCCAGCTGGAAAGGTTGTGTGTGTGTGTGTGTGTGTTGCCGGCCAACTAAGTTGGCTTTGTTTTTTATAAATTGGCCCGGACCTGAACTGCACACCCGCTGGCCATCAATCAGGTGCTCCAAGGTGGGGGTGTGTATCTACATGGGAGTCCTTGTTTGCCGGCAGCAATTTGAAAGTCGCGTCTAATCTTTGGCCTGTTGGCTCACGTGATTTGTTTGCAGCATCGCTGGGGGCAGCGAAAGCGGCAGCGCATAAATCAAAATGCCATTTTTGATAGTACTTCCCCTTCTGCCACCTGAAAATCCCAGCGCAAAAACCCCCCGAAAACAATATATCAAATTGCTTTTGCATTGCGCGCATGTAACATTTTATTTAGATTTCTGCTCAAAGATTGCCCCCCGCCTGCATTGTCTGAGGGAAAATAAAGGAAAAGGAAAAGCGGGAGGAAAATGCAGTAGCAGCAGCAGCAGCAGCCGCCCATTAATCATGCATGCTGTATGTGTTGAGGCCAAAACCGAAAGTCTAAGCCCGATCCGAGGACCCTCAGCCATTATCCTGATTCATAAACCATTATAGTTTTCCCTGTTCTCCGCTGCTTTGTGAAAAGGGTTGCTTCTTGCGGGAAATTTATGTGTTGCAATTATTTTCTTGAAATAACACTTAAAGTGATTTACGCGGCGGTCATGTGTGAGTGCCGGAAAAATGGTCAAAGGGGGATTACCCTTTCTCTGGAACCCTTCTGCCCATCTAGCTGCTTATTCCGTCTCATTGGCTTTGCATCGCACTTAATAAGATTTGTTGGCACCCCCAATCAAATTGGAATGCCCGAAAAAGGTTCCACCATACAAATGGCCGTGCAAATTGCTCTTCATATGTTCAATTTGTGGGTGACTTTAAAAGGGGGGCACGTACATATATGGGGTATGTACCCCCCCCCCCCCCCCCCCATAAAGTTGGCACTCGCATATTGAAAGCGTTGCATCAAAGGGGCGTGGCAAGTGCCGACGGCTTGTTTGCAGTTTGCTGTTTACCATGCGTACACCACTTGCAACGAGTTGCCAAATGAGTCCGCTCGAGTGGAGCGCAGATCAAAGGAGTCGCCCGGGGGTGGTGCCCACCTGGACCACCCTCCTGACCCACCTGGACCACCCATCCACCTGCAACCCACCTGTTTCATGTGCACTTAATTGTCGCCTCCATTAAGCGATGGCGGGCGCCCGAAAGTATGCAACTGGCCATAAATTTAGTGAGCAAAATTATTACCTGTAATTGCGGCAGGCATAAAGCATAATTTGAAATTTATGTTTATGTTTTTGGCCGCGAGCAGCGTCCCTAAATTATCGGCTTAATGTGCCCGAAAATTCCGGCAATGTGTATGGCCGGCAAATTGAATTGGGCCATAGCTACAGCATCCATTAACCCCTAAATGCCCTAATGGACCGACTTTCATGAACTTTCCCCTTCTTTTCCCTTGCTTTTTGCAGACCTGCTACGAACTGGAACGCTATCTGCGGGATGAGCCCAAGCTGCAGAAGAAGATACACAGCAATCTGGACAACGCCTGGGACATATTCTCCACACCCGCCCGCCTGCTCGAGGAGCTGAAGATCAAGGAGCAGCACCTGGACACGATCTCGACGACCTCCTCGGTCTCGTCCAACTGCTCGGGCATCTCCTGGGACAGCAATGGCTCCCAGGCGCTGAGCTGCTCGGTGCTGGTGAAGCAGGAGAGGATCGACGAGGAGGACGACGAGGTGGGCTGTGACGATAAGATGGGCGTGTTGCTTTCGGCACCGCCCTCGGCCATTTCGCCCAATCCCAGCATCGGCAGTGCGGGCAACATGACGCCCACCAGCAACAGCAATAGCAATATTAGCAGCAGCAACAGCATCACCAGCAGCAACATCAGCAGCAGCAGCAGCGGCAACATCATTGCCAGTCCGCTGAGCAGTCTGGGCAGTGGCAGCACCATCACAGTGAGTTCCCGCAACAGTTCCGCGCCGGGCATCAAGGTGCGAGTGGTCCAGGCCAAGAGCAACTCCAGATTGCACCTGGGGCATGTCCAGGACTTTGTGCTGCCCACCCTGACGCCGCCCTCCTCGCCAGAATCCAGCCTGCGCACCCACAATTATGCCCAGCAGCTGGAGGCCAACGATCTGGCGGCACTGATACAGCAGCAACAGCAGCAGCAGCAGCAGCAGCAACAGCAGCAGCGTCAGACACAGCAGCAACATCCACATCCACAGACGAGCAACTCCACACCCGCAACAGCAATCCTGCGATTCACCAGCCAGAGCAATCCCACAATGACGCAACTGCAGCAGCAGCAACAGCAGTTGGCCGTCCAGCATTTGAGCATATCGCCACAGGCCCTTGGCAGCAACTCGCCCAAGAGCAGCAATAGCAGCAGCAGCAGCAGCAGCACCAGCAGCAGCAGCAGTAGCAGCAACAGCAGCATTAGCAACAGCAATAGCGGCAGCAGCAGCAGCAGCATCAGCGACCAGCCAACACACAGCAACATTCCGCGCAGCACCATCGTCCGATTGACAACGGCCAACGGCAAGCCAGGAGCCGCTGGAATCAGTCTGGCTCGAGTCATTCAAATGCAGAACAACGGCAATGCCAATGTGGCCGCCGTGCTCAATGCCGCCGCCAACAGCAGCAGCAGCAGCAGCAACAGCAACACCACCAGCGCCAGCAGCAACATCAGCAACACCACCAGCAATACGGCCACCACGCAGCAACAGGTGCTCTCGCAACGGGCCGATAAGCCATCGAATGGTGAGTTTGGCCAACACTTGACCCAGTTTGGTTAGTCCTTAACCCAGAATTCTGTTTTCTCTTACCCCCAGGCTCCTCGAAATCACATCACCCCCGCCAACATCACAGCGATCACAGCCCGGACGCCAAGAGACGGATACACAAGTGCCAATTTCTGGGCTGCAAAAAAGTCTACACGAAGAGCTCACACCTGAAGGCCCACCAAAGAACGCACACAGGTGAGTGGGGGGTTTCGGTCCAAATATGAATGAGCTGAGTGCGGTGAGGAGATGTGCGACTGACAGATACGAATTTCCAACTGCCGCAGTCGGCAATTAAAAGCGTGTGCCTTGGGATGGGGAAAAACCTCACCTGGATCACCCCCCCCCCCCCCACCTGCCGCTCCAATAAATCAGGGGCCTGCGACAACAATGTCCCCGACAGAATTCCCTGGGACATGCAGGAGTGACATGTTGCATTGTTTGCCCGACACCGTCCTGTGTCCAGAGTCACGAGTCCCGAATCCAGAAACCAGAAACCAGAAACCATAGTCCACTTTCCACAGCCTTGCAGTCGCAGTCGCGGTTGGGAAAAGCGGGGAAAAACCAGGGTAAAAACATGCAATGGGCTGGATGACATAGGAATGGGGGGTGGGGTGGAAACAGGATCATCCGGGGGTTTTTCGGGCACCGGCAATTGGGCACCAAAAACAACCTCATCGCCTGACAGCAGACGATGCTTGAAATTTCAATAAAAATCGCATAATTCAAACATGAAATATTGGTCACACACACACACATAGCCGGCGTTGAAATGTAATTTTATTACAACCACATTCGAACACGAGAGAGCAAATCTATTGATTTGTGGATGGGTGTGTGGCATGTAGTGTGCGTGTGGGCTTACAAGAGCTTTGCCAGCGAACACTTAACCCATAAAATAGAAAACCAAAATCCATTTCAAGTTCTGCCAAAAACTGGGCAAAAAAAAACAGTTTGCAGTTGTTGGCCAACAACATTTGTGCGCATTCAGTCAAAATTTCTACACAGAAAGGAAAACTTTTCGGGTAACATCTTATTTCTATGATTTTTATGGAGTACTTAACCAAAAGCAAATGTTCATATTACGCTATTATTTATTTTCTGTTTACACTAAGAGAACAATAGAACAGTAAACATAAATATATGCATATGTAATTTTTAATGATGTATCAAATAACTAAATTGAATCAAAATCTTAGCATTCACTACACAGTATTTAAGTTAAGGTAGAAAATATTAGATTAGTCCTATTTATTTTACATTTGTTTATATATTTTTCAAGTTGATGTAAGCCTTAGCAAGAAATATTTAAATAGAATAAAAATAGTTAGATTTCCCACGTTTTTTTCTCTGTGTAGAAGAAGGACTCTGCTCTCGCTCCGCTTTATGAATTTTGGTAGAAGTAGAACCCCATTCTTTGTTTTGGCCTGTCAGTTTTTGTCTTGGGGAACCGAAGGGGTGGAACCAACAAATCATTTGGCACACACTCAATGCCAGGCAAATGATTTTGCAATGCCTTTGCCAAGCAATTCATACCGAGGCGACTTTCTGAGGCGATTGTTCCCCATTTAGCGCCGAATCGAATATACCCTGGATGAGGAATGGGTATTATGTGTGGATTTGTTTACTTATGCATGCAAGTGTTGGCATTGCCATCCCGAAGTACCATTTGGCTCTTTGCAAGGCCAGCATGTTTTGTCGGCAAATGAAATTCGGGCCTGGGATATTTCTCACTCAAGTTTGTTTGTCCAGTGCCCCCAATGTTGGTCAAAGTTGCTCTGTTCTGGCCAAAATGGCCCCTTTGAAGGCGTGGTTATCATCAGCACATAAGGAAGATTCATGTGCAGCTCAAGGTTTTCGATCCTTACAGCCCCCCCCCCCCCCCCCCCTTCCACTTTGTGGCAAATGTCAACAGCAACAACTTTCTGTGACAGCCGCAGGATATTGCTCAATTTATAAATTTACTCTGGCCCCGGGCGGCGAGGCTTAACATTTTAATTAACATTGAATTCCGGACCTGCCTTGTTTGCCTTTGCCACAAGAAAGCCAAAAGCTTTTGGTTCAATAAAAATCCATAACAGTCAAAGTTTTTGCCCATAATTTTGAGTTTGCTTTGGCCAAACCAAAGCTACCAACTACTACATATAAAATCGCTCATCCGCCCTGTTTGCCCCATTGTTTTGTTGCCTCAACAGCTTTAAGTGTTAATTTTGCCAGGAAAACTTCCGCAGTTTGCCTTGAACCTGAGGACTTTTTAATTAATTACACATGTTCAACTACTGGGTAGTGCAGGAGTGCAGGGCAGATAGTAGAAACCCTTGGAGACCAATAAATCAAAAGCCAAGGTGTTGTCCCGGCGATAAGATTGAAACATTTGATTTGGCACCAAAAAGCGAGCAGGGCAAAAAACCATGATGGGAAAATGGAAAAATGTTATGAAAGGAGCTGGGTCGCAAAAAGGAAAAAAAAAACGTAATTATTTTAATGATACCATGGAGACCAGGCGAGGTTTTTTAAATTAAAGAAAACCTAATGAATTACGTTTTTTGCATGGCAAATGAAGCTCAGCTCCGCTCGGCTCAGAGGAGAATTTCATTAGAGCGCCTAGATGGAGGATTCTTTAAATGTTTGTCGCATTTGAAAAACGGACGCATGCGAATAATTGATGACGAGCTATTATTTAGTTGCCAAACAGTGTCCTTGAACATTGCCATGGCAGTTTGGGCGGAACAGACAGTGAAATTAATTTGATTTCGGTTTTCGAGCGCACTTCCTGTGGCTTTCCAACCGTTTCCATTTGCATGTGCCCGTCGCCATTTAATTAGAAAGCCATTCAAGCACACTGGCCACACTTTCGCAAATATACTGCCCGGATATATATATTTATCGGCACAATTGAATATCAATTAAAACGACATTCGGCGAAATAAAATACTCCACCTCGCAAACTTTGGCCACAAACGATTTCAATTAGTTAAACGCAGGCGGCTATAAAAATGCCAAAGTGGCATGCAGCGAGGGGCGGGAAAAGCTGGGAAAATCCAGGGGAAAAAAAAACCAGGGAAAACCGAGAAAAACGCCGAGACGCCGATGCCGAAGCCGTTAAGAAAAGATTACAAGTGCAATCAAGTGAAAAGACGCAAACAGACCATAAAAATTGTGTTGAGTGCAAAAGCCGAGAAGGCATCGAGCAGCTCCATAAAAAGGCGAGCCACCGAGGAAAAAGGGATTCCTCCGCTTTTCCTCGTTTCCACTTTCCCACATCGCATGTCCCGTCGGAGCATTCTTTCCTATTGCCGGCTGGAAATTAAAACCCAGAGCCAAGTGAAATTTATAAAATATTAACTGGCTCCATTCGCTCGCCGCTCCTTTTTTGCTAAGCGACTGCAGTTGCAGTCGTTCCTCCTCCTTCTTATTGGCCTTTAAACAATTTACAAGTGCTGGCTTTATGGCCTGCCACGGCCACAGAATCGCAGCTGAAACTATCAATATATATGTATATATATAGGGACAAACGGCTGAGGTTAAGTTTTAACTGCGTTCGGCTCAATAAATTAACATGGCGACGTCTCGGCGCGATTGGAGGAAATAAAAGCGGGCGAAAATCGCTTAACCCAGTTGCCGATTGGCTGGCTTTTTGGCCAGGTCCGCCGCGTTCCATCGCGGCTAACAATGTCAGCGCAGATGAGTTGCCATGAAAACTAATTAAAGGGCTGCCACAGAGCGGGAAAACCATCTTGTTCCACATGCGCGCCCATTGCCTACTTTTGGGCGCAGTAACGGCCAATATCCAGAGCAGGTCCTGAGTAATAGCCAACTATTGGGCCAGGTCCGCAGGGTGCGCCAAAAAGTGTAGGGAGAGGGTATACCGTGCTTATAACAGCTATCTAAATGGATATGCATTATATTTTCACTTTAATTTATTCATAACCTTGGTGTGTTTATAAAGCAATCAAATACTTTTGTGCAAAAGCTCCTAATTAGTTCTCATTTTTCCTTTTAAATATCCCTTACACATAAAACCCTTCTCAACAGGTTTTATATTTCGCACCCCAGAAAAAAAGGGTATCCAATTAGTCAGTTATTGGCCCAACTCATACATTCTGTTGCTGGCCCGTTTCGGTTTCATTTCGTTTTTGGTTTCGTTTCGTTTTGCCGGGCCACTTCAATGGCCAGATAACACGGCCATTTTGGGTGCTTTATCGCTGCTTTTCCCCTTCGGATTGCCGACCGCCCGCTGCCAGCTCTTTTGCCGTTTAAATGCACTTCAATACGAGACTCTTGGGGGTCGCATCCTAGATCTCTGGGCCTGCACTTTGTGCATTTGACGCTGATTTACACAGCCAGAGGTCTGCGAGGGAAGGCCCGGGAGATGGGGAGATAGTCAGGAACAGAGGAAAACTGATAAAGAGCGAGTGGAAGGGGGCCAACAAAGTGCCAAAGACAACGATATGTGCGAGTGTGCATTCGTTTATTTATTGCCAATGCTTCGATTCCCAAACAGTTCTGACAACATGCCAAAGTGCAAGTGGCACTCGCCCACTCACACTGGCATTATGCTCACCAACATAAAGAAATTGCTAGCAAAGTGAGCATTCACCAATAAATTCACCAACAATATCAGCAAAGTGTTCACCAATAGAATGGGAAGTTACACCACATATCCACATTTTTCATAATATTCAACAATAAAATTAGCCAAGACAGCTGTTGTTAGATAAAGTCACATATTCACCAATATATATTCACCAACAAAAAACATAACAATAAAATCACCAACGTTTTTGTTAAGAAACAAAGCCACTCAACCATCGAAAACCCAACAAAGCTAAGTAAAAGGAGTATATTCGATACCAAGAACTTTACCAACACTCACCAACTCAGATGCGACTTGAGTTATTTTAACAAATGGAAATTCACCAACCAATAAGTTTAAACATAAAGCCACATATTCATCCGTTTATATGCCAACAAAGAACCCAACAAACTGTGTACAAGAGGTACAATCAATGCCAAGAAATTCACCAACACTTTCACCAACACAGATACGACTTGAGCAATGGCCAAGTGTAAACAAATGGAAATTAAGACAGCCGGCAAGTCCAAGCTCCGGTCAACGGAAAAGGGTTGGCTGGGGAAAATGGCTGGGGGAAAATGGGTGGAAAGCCGCAAGTGCATAATGTGAAATTGAGCACGGAAATATCACACATTTCCGCATGCATTAAGTTTTAAGCCAAGTCTATGTGTGTGTGTGTGTGTGGTATGCGTTACAAAGTTTTCCACTCAACTTTATGCATTTTTCTTGGCTGTCGTCGTCTACTTGCCGGTTATCTCGCTCCATTTTCCTTCTTCGCTTATTTTTTTCCTGCTGCTCCAGCGGCGGCAATTTCCTGCCTCGGCTGCTGTTTGTCTTTTAAACTGAAATAATTTTCCCATTTTTTCCCTTTTCGGGGGTTTGGGCCGGGTTTTCGTATTTTTTCAGTGTGTTCTGGCACTGGCCGGCTTTACGCCCCGCTCTATTCAGGGTCTTTCTCGCTCTGGCCCTCGCATTTTTAGGTTCCGCTTTTATTTCTTTTTTTTTTATTTTTTGCTTTGTGTGAAATTACAACTTCTGCATTTCCTTTTCCTTTCGGCTGGCTGGTTCTCGCCAGGACTCCGTTTCTGTTTCTGTTCCTGATTCGGATTCGGATTCGGATTCTGGCGCTGTTTTTGGTCCTGGCTCGGGATCCTGCTCTGGTTGGCTTTTGGCGCTACTCCGCTTGTATCCTTTGAGGCTTTTGGCACGCATGAAAAATGTTGGCAAAGGACCGCGCTTGGCACACCGTTGACGTCGACTTTAGCATCATTTCGTTTCGTTTCGCTTCGCTCTGCTCTGTTTCGGTTCGGTTTTAATTTTACAGTTTTTCATTTTTAATTGTCTTAAATTCCTGACTGTTTGTGCGTTTCACCCGTTTTACCCAGCTTTCCCCTAGTTTTTCCCCCCCGCCCACTGTTTACTCATGTTTTACTTTATGCATATTTCTCGTCCGCGTAGCGCCAGCGTCGAAAAAGTTTTTTCATTTGGCAGGCGCGTGCTAAATAAAAAATGTTTCCCCAAACTCTGGCCCTTGCCTCCCAGAGCACGCATATTTATGCGCTTTATTGTTTGTGCTGCAGCAGCGAAGTAGCGGAGAAATTGCAGCCACTTTCCACTGCGGCAGCTTCGGGGCACTTGGAGAAATTTTCTATGATTAGTAGCTAAATGGTTTCAGTTTAAACTATGTATCACCCTTTGAAGAAAAATAAAAATATCATTAACTGTAGGAAACACCACACAAATAACTTTCAAATCACTTTTAAATTCAATTTGTCTATGTCTAAAAGTATGCAACAATAAATTTAAGGCTCAGAATTACATTGAATTTATTCAGAAATGCAACTGTCTTTTATTCTCTGCATACTTTTAGGCACCTAAAATAAAATTTTAAACTGATTTTGAAAATTTTGATTTGTATGTCATCTTCCAATGTTTTGATTTTGAAAATGCTGGAATATTTAAAAATCTGAAAACAATGATTTTTTTTGGGAAATTATAGTTATTAAGATATGGAGAAATAAAATTTTGAAACTTAACTATGGGATCTTGGAGCTCTTGGATTTCAGGAACTTGGATATACATCTAATGAATGAACTTTTCGCTACATTTTTTTCTAGTGCATTCTAGCTCTAGCCATTTAAAATGCAACTTATTTAATAAGAGTTTTCCCCCTTTCCCTTCCGTTACAGGTGAGAAGCCGTACAAGTGCTCCTGGGACGGCTGCGAATGGAGGTTTGCGAGGAGCGACGAGCTGACCCGCCACTACCGCAAGCACACAGGTGCCAAGCCCTTCAAGTGCCGCAACTGCGATCGCTGCTTCTCGAGGTCCGATCACCTGGCGCTCCACATGAAGCGTCACATGTGAGGGGAGATTTAAGTCCATAGAGATCCCCGGAAAATCCAGAGGCGGAGGCGATGAGGATGAGGAGGAGTTCAGCGGAAACTGTGTGCCATCAAGGAACGATGAAAAACTTGCGTAACGCTAATCAAAACCACTTTAATCGTGGAGCAGAGAGGGGTGGATAAACAAAAATTGAGAAAGTTAAATCAAACATAAAAACAAAGAAAACATCACAACACAAGCACAAAGATGGAAATTCAAGTTATCCGATTCCGATTGATATTTGTGTTGCCATTATTGTCGCCGTTATCGTTTTCGTTATCGTATGGTTATCGTCGTTATCGTTTCAATTGCAAATTCGATTTGTTTCAATGCCTTGTTAAGTGTAAGTTTAAGCTATAGCAGCCTGATCGCATTTCCCCATTCACATCTAGCATTTAGCGGCAAGTTCTGAACAAACAGCAAAAATTGTGTACAATTTACCAAAGCTAAGCGATTTCTTTAATTAGTAAAGCAGCAACAAAATAACAAAACAAAAAAAAAACGTAGTAATTTAATTGAAAAAGAATATTTTTGTTTTCATAATGTGAACACTGCCAAAACGAAAGTGTAAAAAAGAAAAAACAAACAAAAAAACAAAAACCTAAAAACTAGAAAAAATATTTGTAAATGTAAAGAGTTAATATAAATAATTAGTTTCATATGTCGGCATCAGCAAATAGAAATACAAATACAAGAAGAAGGTAAAAGTGCAAAATATGTTTTAAACAAAACAAAACACAAAACGTTAAAACTGCTTATTTTCTTAAATTAATTTTAAATGTAATTTAAATGTTGCATAGGTCTGAATATCATTTCACCGCACCACTCGAAATTGGAAACCTATTAACAATAAATTTAATCAATTCCTAAATTAAACTTCAATTCGTATTCGGAATTTGGCGAAAAAGCTATTTTGTTAAACATAGCAACAAAATTGGTTTTCTAATGAATATACGTAATTATTTAATGTAAAAAATTTCTCTTATGCATTGCCTAAGTGATGGAAAGTATTACGAACACATTTTGATATGTTTATCTAATTTAATCAAAATTTGTATTCTCAATCGAAAGACGAAACAACATTTATTTTCGACTTAACATACAAATTCTTCTTTATGTGCCTCATTAATTTTAATTGAATCAATTCAAAGCAATCAATTCCCCTTAGCTAAGCAACTTTTTTCGGTATCCTCCTAGTTTTCGAAATCTTTTATATTTTGCGTGCTGATTTTCATTTTGTAGTGTATCATTTCCTCATTCTTGTTTATAATGATTTGTTTTATTTTTAATTATTTTTAAATAAAGAAAAGTATGTGAAAAACGAATGTTTCCATGGGCTTATCATTTTCCACCAGCACCCCTCAGCAAATGAGACACGACATCAAAGTATACAACGTTGATCGAGAGCAATATGTGCGTATCGGTCAATCATTATGGTTTGTGTGATGAGAAATTCTGTGATCCAGAGAACAACAACAACAAAATAGCTAAGGCAAAGAAAAACAAATGAAAAATGAAAAACCAAAAACCAAAAACCCAAAAACCAATGACAAGCAGATAATCAACTGCAAAAGCATACATGCACTAAAAAGCGAAAAAAAATGGGGCTAAGAGAGGGAAACTTTGCCAAAAAAATGCGAATACTCCCAAAAATGGAGCAAAGAATTTAGTTAAACTCTTGATATATATACATTTTTATGTAAATACGAACACAAAATACAGTTTGTCTCCTTTTTCAAGCTTTATTCTCACTGAAAGTAGATGGGAGGAGAGTTTTGACGATTCTGAACTGCAATCGTTATCGATATCAATATGTACGTGTGTTGCTTGTGCTTTGTGTCATTTGAATATTATCAAATTTGTATGTATCGATATATCATCAGATCAACGCGCCACAAACGGATAATCCCGATAAGGCCCCCAAGGGTCCCTTCCAGTTCCAGAATCCCGTTTGGCTTCCAAGCGAAAATTGCACTGAACAATACTTAATGATTACGTGAAAAATCCAAATCCAATACGATGTGTCAAAAATGCTTCAATCAGTTTAGTCTAACTTTTGAGAAAAACCAAAAAACCAAAACCGAAAACCCAAACAGTAAAAAATAGAAACCCGAATATATAAAATATTTTGTATAGAAAACCTTTAAACTAAAAATCGAAAGTGTAAAGCATATTTAGATCCTAAATCAGATATTGGATAGTCACGAGCGCAGAGTGAGCGTCACTATAGATATGGATAAACCAGAATATATATATATATGTATTTTACAACCGACAAAAGTGTATTTTAAAATGAGAAAATTAAAAAAAATAATTGTGTAAAAAGGTAAACCAAAAATGAAAGACTGGTCAACGAGGTGTTCCGCGTTTATGCAACAATTGCAAAATAGAAAAAGTAAACAAATATATATATATGTACATGTACGAGTATAGGGGATTTTCGATTTCGAAACCGAAGGCATAAGATACTGTACTCCAAAATTGTATATGGTGTGTGAGCCCAGAGCGTTTAGGTTAAGTACCACTCGATCATTTCGATTCTCCGATTCGGGTTCAGATTCAGATTTGGATTCGGCAGCAAAACTACGCATACGTAAGAGGGAGGGCATTGCCGCGATCCCGCAATTAAAGTTAATGAAGTACGAATTTTAAGTAACGCTGAATGTGAGTCTAGAGAGTACTAAACCAAAAACTATGGATATATTTTAGTGTCTACACTTGAACATTTTACAAAGGCAGCTCCCTGGGGTCAGCTTTTGCGAAGTCAACCAGCCGGCAAAGTACGAGGCTCTAAAGCTCTGTTGCTGAGGGAAAATCTATAAACATTTTCTACAGATTTACAGCCGAGCATTACAAGCAAAAACCAAAGGCAGAGTACAGAGGCCGGAAGTCAGAAGTCGCAGGGCAGGAACATTTTTGGCAGCAGGCACACATAAAAATAAATAAAGTATACTAAAACTAGAGTAAATACATTTTAATTTCGTTTAGAGTTTCGTTTGCAAATGTGCTTAGCAATTTTCCCATTCCACCCCCCGCCCATTACCCCCGCCACCCATTTCCCAGGATTTTCCTCGCTCCAGAGCGGAATATCATAAGCGTTTAGTTTAAGAGTAGACTAAATGGCGAAGGGCCAAGCTTAGTATAGCAGAAATATATGGGAGGCGAAGGGCATATACACACACATATAGAGTCGGAAAACTGGGGAACGGGGAGTACGGGGTTCGGGGAGGATAAGGAGTAAAACATTTTATGTAGGCAAATAAGGGCATAACTCGTAAAAGATTTTGTGTATAGTTTAGTGAAATGAATTAGTTTAATGTTAAATGAACTCAAAAGTAAACTACATAAAAAAATATATATAAATATATACACGCGGATATGTATTTAAGGGAATATACTTAAAGCGTATGGCGAACCTATTTACGTGGCAGTTGTGTGTAAAGTGTGTGTGTGTGTGTATGTGAATTAAATTGATGTATATCTGTCGTAAGGGCGAGTCAGTTTTTGGGAAGGACTATGCAAAGCATCTACAAATTAAGGCACAGCATTATAAATTACAACTAATGAAGTACGTTTTATTTGAGCTACGAACGCACGAACGGTTACTAAAGCAAGAATGGTGATGGAATGCAGATGAGGAGGGTCATGGGTTAGGGTTAGTCAAGTGGGGGTTACCGATTGGAAATATTTCGGGGTGGCAGCAAGTGGTGATTACTTAGAATTTTTACGAGATAACTCAGTTTAGCCCTTCCTCGTTTCTGTATATGATCGCAACCCCAGGCATGCATTCATATTTATAATTGTAATCATAAGACAGTGTAATTGATATCAAAAGATAAGAAAAAAAACTAAAGGTATAAAGAGGAAAATTCACAAGTTTCGGCACAGGAAAAACCAAACGAAAAATACATTTTAGGAGTAAGTAAATCAAAAAATAAAAAAAAAAACACAAAAATAATAATTGTATTTAATGCTTGTGCAAAACAGAAAAAATTCTTAGCTAATAGCAAATAGCAAAAAATCTAATTGTCAGTGTTTAATTACTATTATTGATGTGCATTCGATGTGTGCTAAGTTCACAAAACAAGCATCCCGTTTACCCAGATCCCAATTTTTCCAGGTTCCTACAATCCTTGAGAGTTGTTTTCCACGATCGATTGTTTATTTCGGACCTTCGCGTATCAAGCAGATAATTAAAAACTATATGTATAAAAATAGAGCTAAATAACTGAACTCGAAATAATATCGCAGCTGACTCGAAATGTTTGCATAAATTATTAGTTGATTAACTGCAAGAATAATTAATAGAATTTAATTCAATTAGCATATTTTCAGCCTCGCCCGCGCCCCCTAACCGCCTAGATTATATAATTGTAGCAAAAGCGAAAACCAAAACAAAAATTATTGATCATTAAACATTATTAATTATTATTATTATGGCTTGTTTGTTGCGGCTTTTTGTGCATCTCCATTCGGAAATCATTTTATAAGGGGAAACAAATTATAAGAAGAATCTAGAAAATAAATACAGAAAACATAGCAGAAACAATTGGGCAAAAAGGCCAAAAAAAAAGTGTGGAGAAGAACATTTCTTGTACTTAGGTTTAGTTTATTATACAAAAAAGCAAGAATAACAGCGGCAGAATGAAGCAAATAATAACAGCTAAACGTGAATAAGTGAGGAGACGAACCAGATCCATCAACATTAGAAAAACGTTATTTTTATTCTTGTATAAGTATAAACCGAAGGCATTTTTCAACGTATGACAACTATTATTGTACGTAACTTGATATTTTGATGAGAATTTCTGTGAACAAAGCAAAAAATAAAAAATCCCAAAAAAACTGAAATATAGAAAAAATTAAAAAAAAATACAAAACCCTCTCGTATTTCAATGGAAGTTGTGAGATGGGGTCTGTAAAAACGTTGTTGCATTTAAATGATGTTGGTTTTGGCCCGTTCGGGCGGTCTGCATATATTTAACTTTTGTGATTGCAGGCGGCGTTCGGCAAACAGTTCACATCATTAGCCCCACGGGAATGGGCTGACCAACCATCTACATCTGCTCGACCAACAAACAACTCGATTCGCCGGCAATCTGCATAAATGACATTAAAGCACCGGCGGCGCAAGTTTCCGTATTAATTTTTAATTATACTTTATGGCAGGCCGGGCATCAACAAAAGTGTCCTGGCCCTTGGCATTTCGTCTGCCATTAAGCCGGGTTATTTGTTTATGGACTGGCGGCTTAAATCATATAGTAAATCACAATTTACCAGGGCTAATTGGCTTGTCAGTCATTTTCAGGTCAGCCCGAAAGTATGCTGTCCTGAATTTAAATCAATTTTTCGCTCGACAAAACTTCTGCATGCCAAAACTTTGGATGGGAAATCGCTTAGACTTTGTTTTAGTCTGCTGATGAAGATTCGCACATGGACACACATGGAAGTCCAGCCCGGTGAAAGATGACCAACGACAAAAGTAAAAGCGAGCAAGTTTGC